TTTCATCAACTTCAAATACTACTGTCTAAAGACTTGTTTTAACCCATAAATGGATTTCTACAGACGGCATCCCATACGTTCTTTTTCTTCCACGACAAAACCTTTGGGTTGTGCCATGTAAACGTTTTCATACAAATTCCCGTTGAGGAATGCCGTATTTACATCCATCTGATGTAATCGTAATGTGCCAATAACACAATTATGATTTTAAAAGAATCCTTGCATGAGACTGGAGAGAAAACTCCCATCGTAATCTATTCATTATCTTTGCGTAAAGCCTTTTGCTACAAGTCATGCTTTATATCTTTCCACATTTCTCTTGGAGTAACATTTTGTCTTGTAGACCCATTCACAGCCTACTGTTTTAGCTCTATTAGAAATTTCTTCTAAGTCCCATACATCATTGGTATTCATCGAATTTATTTTAACTTTTATAGTTTCTTGCCATTCAAACGAATAAACGCTTCTCATGGCTTCTTCAAATGAGGTGGGATCACCCTCCATTTAAATTTGTTCACTAACATAGACTTCATAGTCATCAGAAAACTGGTTTACTAATTCTTTGAGACCTTCTAGGGCCTCAGCTACTGGCACTTTTATGTGGGTTGTTATTGCTCTTCATTGCCAAGAGACAATTAATTCTACAGGCTCCTGTATCACAAGATCCTTGTTTACATTATTCATCTTCTTCAAAGAGCCAACAACGGATGTTGTATAAGTCATACAACATCAATAGGTATCGAGAAATTCATTGTTTTGAATCACTAAAGTGGGCATGCGGTCCCGTTTCTCTTCAAGTCATAGGTCTCTACATATCATGCTCCCCCAGATCGTCCAATCTTTTATAAAGATAGTGTATCTTCTAATTTTTTATTTGGGTTCAATCTTTTAAAACCTTATATGGCGCTTTAAGCGCCGCTTTAATATCTTTGATGGTGATTATGCTATCTTCTTCTCGGAACTTTAAAAAATCCAAGAATTTAGTTGTTTCTCTACTTAGAGGTATCATTGTTATGACCAACGATCACATTTATCAAAATCTTTATGCCATCTTTCTTAATTGATCTTTGCTCTTACTCTTAATTGATCTCATAATTCTCCTCCTCGAAATATGTCATGAACTTTACTGTCATAATTTCGAGAACTATTCAGAAAACCTGTGAACGAGGAGACCCTTATGACATACTTCATTCACATGATTATGTCATGCAAACAAAGTTATTTCTTGATCCATATAGGAGCACACTTTCCTCATTTCACTTCAAGAACTCAACGAGTTTTTTTATTAACTGTACTTTTACAAGTCACGCTTGCATCTTTTTTTTGTCTTTTGATTAGTATTAACCATGACTGTGCATTTCTATTTGCGCCATGGTCAATATTAGGATAGCATAGGAACTACCCAAACTTTTCTCGCTACGCGGGATAAAAACATATGATTCATCACAAAAACTTCTCCCACCATGTAGAATTGACTAGCATAAATACTATGCCAAACTTCTCTCATGCGGGGTAAATCTATACACAGATTAGCGTAACAAAAAATTTAGTCATGATGACTAAAACATTCACTTATACTTCATTTTCCAATTAAATCTTTTCGTTGGTTCCAATTTAATCAGAAAATTAGTAAACTAACAAAAAAAATTGTCCTGAACTGGCTTGACTTAAGCCTTTTCATTAACATACCCCAGCATTGCAGCCCGTTGACATGCAATCGAGTGATCACGTCGGTTAAAAAATAAAACTTACAAGATGTTTCTGCATCAATTCTATATTACCGTTGGGTAGAAAATAGAATTAATGCATAAAACTCATAAATTAACTTGAAAGATATATGACTACTCTTCAAAATTAAATTCTCCCGTTGGTTCGAATTTAATTAGAAGATAATCAACAATATTACAGCGAAACACGATAATAAAATACATTTTATTAGTTCAGAAACATTTTTTGGTCTTTATCTACTCTCGAAAAATTGACCATATTGGTGTAAAATTTATCAGAGATTTAAACTTCAACCTTAAACTCATTATAATATTGTTATCATCAACGTTGGTCAGAAAATAACAATACCATAATTTATCATAAATAAATCGGACTACTCTTCTAATTTAAATTTTCCGTTGGTTCTAATTTAATTAGAGGATAAACATAATCATAATTTACTAAATAAATATGACTGCTCTTCAAATTAAATTCTTCCATTGGTTCGAATTTAATTAGAAGATAATAAACATTAAACTTTGCAGCGGAAACATGAAAAAATTCTTCATCTACTTTTTAGAAGCATTTCACTGTGCTCCTCCACTCTTTGAAAAAATTATCCCATTGATTTAAATTTTGACAGAGATTGAAACTAGATAAAAAATCATCAAAATTTGCTTCTGAAAATGAATAAACATGACTCGGTATCTACTGTTCATTTTGCCTGGCCTGTTGAAACAAAGATGTGGCCCGGCAATGGAAAACACCGTCCGTGCGCTTGGCCATCGTGTGCCAAAGGATGTTTCAACACGGCAAGACTTTCGCCCGCTCCCGCGCCCAGTTGCAACTCGAGATCTGCGGCGGATTTCCTCAAGCCGCTTGGGCTGAAAGCCAGTCCAACGAATACCGACCATCGATTGCAATCGGACGGTTGTCCGTCGTTCTCAGCAGATCAAAACTCCCCGTGGCCGGCTCTCCCCTGAACCCTAATTCCATTTGCTCTTCCCCTTTCTCTCTCTACGCCGCAGTGCACCAGACACAGAAGCGATGGCGACTCAAGGCTGCCGGAGAAGAGAGTGTGGCGCCGCCGTGGGCCACCTCGCCGGAGCACGCGCTCCCTAGTGGGTGAGCGCGCCTCCCGTTGGCCCCCTGAGCCCGCGCGCCGGTGACCCAGCGTCGAGCGGCGACTCGTCCCGTTCTGCGCGCGCGACGGCAGGTTTCCCACGTGACGGCGGTGGTGACGGCGGCGAGAAAACTAGGTAGGTTCTCCCCTCTCCGTCCACTTTTCTTCTAGGGTTAGAGTTTCGATCCGATTGAAAAACGAATCCCCTCCTTCTACTGAGTCCGCGCGCGGTGCGGCTCCCTTCCCACGCGTCGTTGAAGCAGTGGCGCGATCTTCTTCCCGCGCGACGGCGGTCTTCTTCCTTAGGGTTAGGGTTTCAGTTCTAATCCCGTTTTACTTTTCTACCCCGATCTATGATCTACACACTAGAAACCTAGAAAACCTTGCTCTGATACCATTGATAGAATTGATAGGACCTCTATGTGCAGATCTAATGGGTAAAAATTGACTTAGATGGGAGACTTGGCGATGTACCTCGCCATACGCAGTCACGGCCACGGTGCCACCGCGACATGGCCACTAGAGTCGTAGTAGGGGAAGCCGTGCAGGCGCCCGCTAGGTCGTCGAACGCAGCAGCAGTGCAGGTGCGGTGCTGTGGCGATGGCGAAGGCGATGGCGCTTCCCGTCGCTCACAGCGCTCCTCTCGATCGGTGTAGGGTTAGGAACTTCGGTGGGACGCTGACGACTACAGTGAACCTCATGTCTTGTGCCCCAGCCCCTACCATCCTTTTATGACACTACGCGACGGAGGCCCATCAGCCTAGAGAACCGGCTGAGCGTCCCTGATCATGGAGCGGATCAAGGGCCCAATTGGCCGTTGGGCCAACTGGTGGAGATCATCCTAACACTCTAATCCTGTCGGCTAATCATTAACCTTTTTGAAAATTTTGCTAGATAGAATTATATATGTTATATTTATCACGGCCCTTTTGATCAAGGATGGGATAATGGTTTGGTCTCTGCTCTGTACAGCTCCTTTTGGATGTAAAGTGGGGGCTGTGGATTCTTGAAGGCTCTCACAGGGAAGTTTCAGGGGAAGCTGAAATCATGTTAATTTGTCGGCATGCAGTTCTTGTCACTGCTTTCTTACTAGCTTTTGAGAAAGGAAAATAGAATGTCAATTCCTTGGGCACTATGGTTGCTGGAGATATTCTTTCACTAGGCACTCCAATAAATGTTCAAGGAACCCATTAGGTAACTCAGCAAAAACTTCATATTTAAGCCTCGAGGTAAGATGGCCATTATTGGAATGAGATGAGGAACAAATTCCTAACATACCCTGTATCTCTTCACAGCAATAAGATGGGCTCAGACATATGCTCGTTGAGCTAAAAGGTCAATGAGGCGCTGAACCAATATCGTTGTCAATGAGGCGCTGAACATCGTTGTCAATGAGGCGCTGAACCACTATCGTTGTTATCAGCTAGAATCTACAATATTTTTCTCTCACAACAAAACAGTTTCAGCCGACTTTAATACCAGCCGAACAGGTCCGTCGGCTTCTTTTACCGGGCATCACATTGATCCGCAGATCATTGTAGGTCTTTGGTTTTAGCCGGACACTTTTGGCCTTTGTCAGGCCACAATTGGTCGAGGCGAACTCTTGTTTCAGGCGTTATCATGGTAGGTGAAAGTGGCTTGCAGTCATGAAGATTACCGATTTCATTATATATCAAGTAGTGATTGCAGTCATAACCAGACAAATGAAAATCAAGCCAGCGTCAGAACGAAGGCAAAGCTCAAGTCCATTTACGACGAAGAACACATCAGAAATATATATTCTGACTGCGCCATTAAGTTTTATGATATGGACTGAGTATTTCCCCAAGAACAGAACTTCAAAAGTCATCAACAATAGCACAATATCCACAAGGGTTAGTTTGGACAAATCATTACCCTTGTGGGTTAGAGGGGATTGAGGGAACATGAGCTAAACCCTTCAGTCCCCTCCATTCCTCTACAATCCACATGGGAATGAATGTTCTCAACAAGACCTAGTATTGTCCTTTTTAATGCCGTGATACATAGAAAAAAAAACCCTAATATTGTACATAACCAAGGAATTTTAGGGGCTTCTTAGACCTTCTAAATGCAAGCTCTGCATTTCTCCACTGAAATGGGCAAATGGCGACTCTGAAAAACTCAACACAGCATTGGTGCCATATTCAAACTAAACTATCTCTCCATCAATAATGTGGTGTCTCATCAGAACAATTTCCTTGACAAGATTTCTGTAAGTGAATGGGCGGACAGCAGCCCTCAAGAAGAGCCCTGTGTTTGCATTGCTCTGACTTCCATCCGCTGCACTCCTGCTGCTTGCCCTCTCCTGCTCCTCCTCATCTTCCTCAGCTTGTTCCTGCTCGATAATCATTGCATTTGCTCTGGCCATTTTCCACTCCATCTCTTTCTCTAGATCCATCTGCTGCTTACTTTTGATGCCTCAATGCTTGTCTTGACTAGCTTCTCCATTTTATCAGAACTTCTCATAGCCTTCTTCCACTGCTCATCCCAGTATTCCTCGCTATCCTCAATATTCTCTTTTGAAACTTCATCTGGTTCCAAATCCTCCTGGGTATCGGTTTCATCCTCATCTTCATAATCATCGTCTCCGCCATCCAAAACATTATCAATCTCATTTTCCTCGACCCAATCAGCCACCTCAATTCCATAGTCATCACCAACCTCATCGTCACTCTCATCAGGCGCATCACATCCTAGTTCTAGCTCCTCTAGCTTCACCTTCCACTCCTTGGTATAAGGATGGAGGAGATCCATGGGGTGGTTCGTGAGCAGGAATTCCAGGCATCGCGACTTGTCCGCATCACTCAGCCTGGGTTTGCCTGGGTTTTGGGGACAGGCCCGCTGCCTGCCTGTTTGCCTGTGAAACGATGAGTTTTTTGTGTCCGGAACTGATAATTGTGTCATAAAAAAAACTCTAGTGCTGCAGGCTGCATTTCAGCAGCAGGTTTGGGCGTCTGGCCCAGGATGATCCGGCTGTGGCCTGTGGGCATGTGTGGGTAGCTTGCCGCCCGCGAAGACTGGGCCGGCCGGTAATCAGGAAGAGCTCGGCCTCCTCTGGATCTCTGCAGGCTGCAGCCACCGTAATTGCTTGGTTAGTTTGCGAAAGAGGAACAGGAAACCTCCTGCTTGCTGCCTCCACGGGTCCACGGTCCACGCATCAGTTCACAAAAGGGAAATGTATCAACATGCAGTCTCAAGGAAACTACATATTCCACCTAAAATGCATGTGTTCTTGTCACTGGCGGATCCAGCAATCTGGCAAGGTCTGGCAGCCGCCAGACCTCACCGCCGGCCACACCTACCCCTGCGGAGATGCGGATTGACATGCCTGCTACTTTGGCGATGATCGATTCAGCACTTCCATTCATGGATGCGCGGGGCCAACTGCTACTACGTACGCGTGGTATACTGGTATACACGCATGTCCTATGTTCATGCTCAGCGGCCGCAACGAGAAGGTTGCGTGCGCGTGTGTGGTTCCTTGCAAGTATAATATGATTTTATCACGAGAAATGCTCGATCATGAACATGAGCATGCGAAGGGATTTAGCCAGGATACGGCTGTGCACTTCTATCTAAACCAATGACTGCTAATTGGCCTCTATTTGTTCTGTCCCCTATTAGTCTATACTAATGCATGCCAACTTTATTTGGTCTTCTCCTTTTTTTTCCTTAATTTCCCTCTCTCCCTTGCCCCGTATCTTTTTTTAACCTTGCCTAATAAATTTCAGTAGGGACTAAGGTCCCTTCTGTTTCCTAAAAAAAACTTTATTTAGTCTTGGATTGGTTGTGCATTGTGATGCAAACATATAGTAAAAAGTTCGCCATAGGTTTTATTTGGTATATTTTCTTATTTATGTACCATATGTAGTTTGTTGAGGAAATTGTGCTATGGGAGTTGCATTATATTGTGTGCTGCCTATAAGATAACTACCGTCATTCTTTCAGCATAATACATCCATAAACCTTGGTGAACTCCCAAGCTCTACTCAAAGCATACATCGAACTCTGAGGTAGTGGTCAATAGGTTGTTGGAGCTCAAGCTTCCTTAACGATTGCTGGAACCGCACACTGCATCCACGCGTGCTGCTATACACTCTGAAATCATAGACATTCTGCAGACCATGCATCGAAGCTCCTTTGTAGGTTTTGGTGGATCGAAAACTTGTTTGTCAAATGGTGAGAAGATGATTAGTCCTATGATGTAATTGCGAGCTGTTATTATCAATGATTTAAATATCCAAGTAGGTACCTCGACAACTATGAAGAACCATAGTCAACTATAGTTGTAAGATGTATTAGTTAGCGGTTTTGCAAAAGCATGGAGATAGACATGAATATAAACATGTAGATGGCTCCAGGTCAAATATTGAGCAATAACATAACAATAGGATCAACTTGACAACTCCATAACATCATAGATTCATCATGCACCATCACAAAAGACATAAAGTTTGGTGGACTAAAGTTTAGATAGTGTAGTGACAAACTCATAAACATAAATTCATAAACTAGTAAACTAGTGGTTTTGGTGATTGAAATGACATACATGATCAAAGAGGACTAACATGTGTGCAAAGATGTGTTAGCCATGTTTACATAGGTCGTATGGATTCTAAGGAGCAACATTGAAGAAGATTTGAGCTAAATGGTGACAAAACATGCATCGAATCAACCAACCATGCGCGCGCTTGGAAGTCCTCATATGGCTTCCCTGTAATCATACAGGTAATCAATGCGACACGAGAGCTTTGCATGCAAAGCATGCAGCAAAAATTACAGCCCCAGAGCTCGAGGCTAACTAGTGTACATGTCGGCGCTGCAATTGCAGAGATCGATCAATATGTGGGCACGACGCCGTCGACGCCGTAGTCCGCGTAGGCTCCCCCGGGGGCCATGAGCGCAGCCACGGCGGCCGCGGACGAGGAGTACATCTCCTCGTGCTCCTCCAGCGTGTCCTCCCCGTCCGCCCCAGCCCCGGGCGTGCGCTTGGCGAACCGGCCCTTGATGCGCGGCCGCGTCTCCGCGTACGCCTTGCGGGACGCGTACCGGATCGTCTTCTCGAACCGCCTGCTCTTGCGCTTCTCCCGGTATCGCATCAGCCGCGCCTCCCGCTCCAGGCCCCTGCTGACCACTGCCACCACGGGCGCCCCGCCAGCCGCCGCGTCGGGCACCACCGCTGCCTCCGACGATGACACCTGCAACAACATCCGTGTCTTTCTTGTCACAACACTCCAAGACGTGCTGATACGGCGTAGATTGTACTCAGATCAGAGATGCTAGCTCACACTGTGGTTCATGGAGTGGTCGGAGTAGAAGAGCTTGGCGCCGTTGAGGTCGAGCTCTGGTGGCCCGCCCTGGACGCCGATGGTCTTGATGTCGTCCATGGAACGCGCGAAGTCGAGGTCGAGGTACGGGTCGGAGTCCGCGAAGAACACCTCCGTTGTGGCGCCTTCTTTGTGCCCGTGGTCGGGCTCGGGGAGGAGCCACGACGCCGCCTCGGCCTCGTTGCTGCCGTCGTCGTCGGCCGCGGCTTTGGGCGGCACGGCCGCCGACGAGGCGAAGGGCTTGGGCACGTCGGCCAGCGCGCCGAAGAAGGGCGCCACGGGGAGGCGCTCGTGGCGGCGCGCGAGCGGGTTGGCCGAGTGGATGTCGGCGTCGCAGGAGGCGCAGAGCGCGGCTGCGTCGGCGCGGCACGTGACCGCCGCCGGCGCGTGCTCGCAGACCTCGCAGAGCCAGACCCGCGCGTGGCGCGACCCGGCGCCGTGCGCCCGCGCGTCGCACCCGGCGCACAGGAACGCCGCGTCCGCGCGGCAGTAGAGCCGCGCCGCCCCGGCGCCGCACGCGTCGCAGGGCCGCGCGCCCAGGCCCCAGTAGGCCGGGGCCCCGCCCGCCGACTTCTCGTCACCCTCCATTATCGCGCACGGCGCACCGGAGCAAGCTCGCTCGCTCGCTCGGCAGTTCCTAGTAGTGGCTGTCGGGACGAAGCGATTCTCAGCCAAGCTTTTCCCACCCCGCTCCAGATTTGAGCTGTGGCCATGGGGGGCGGCCCGGGCAGGTCTTCGACGCGAACGAGCGACGTGGAGGACCGGCCGACCACGGAAGTCGCCGTCCCGGCGGGTCCGGGCTGGGGCCAAATTGTTGCCCGTGCCCGTGCGCCTCCTCGCCTCACCGCCCGCGTCTTATTGGGTTGCGTTGCGTCCCGCCGGGCCCGTGCCGTGCACAGTTAAAACGCTGCGGCCGGACCGCCGGACGTCCGTGCGCGCGCGGTGAATCGCGCCTCGCGCGACAGCGATAGCCTCGCCGATTCTGCAGTGGCGTCGCTCTCGCGCGGTCGCGACGGAAGGCTGTGACGAGCTCGTCGTTGTTGCCGGAAAATTTAGGCGGCCGTCGTCACATGGCAAGTGGGTGGGAATGTGGGATGCGACGAGGACGGGGGGCCGCGGCTGCGCCCCTGTCGGCCGCGTGGGGGCCACACCGGCGACAGTTGGCACCGAACCGTTGGCCCCCGTGATCTCGCTCTATCTAAAAATGGTTTTTGACTGGTGCCATCACTCGAAGATTTGAAATATACCATTATTATTTGTCTATCCGAAAGCGTGCCACTACAATTTTAACATACTCTGAAATATGTCATTCTGTACGTGAGACAAACGTTTGGGCCCGCTTGCAGGCTTACGTGGCATACAGTCGACCGTATCCGTCCGTCTCCCATCTTTATCTAAACGGCGCGGTGAATATCGCCATCTTCCCCTCTCTGTCACTCTCGCTCTCTGTCTCTCCCCAAACCAAGAACCCTAACGAGGCGCTGGCGGCGGCGGCGCAGCAGGCCAAGGAGACGGCGCAAGGGGGTGATGGCGGCGGCGACCCCCTTGCACTGTCTCCTTGGCCTGCTGCGCCGCCATTGGGTTCGTCGTTGCCACCGCCGCCGGAGTCGCTGCCACCAGCGCCTCGTTAGGGTTCTTGGTTTGGGGAGAGACAGAGAGAGCGAGAGTGATAGAGAAGGGAAGACGGCGATATTCACCGCGCCATTTAGATGAAGATGGGAGACGGACGGATACTGTCGACCGTATGCCATGTAAGCCTACAAGTGGGCCCAAAAGTTTGTCTCGCGTACAGAATGGCATATTTCAGAGTATGTCAAAATTGTAATGGCACGCTTACGGATAGACGAATAGTAATGATATATTTTAGATCTTCAAGTATTGTAATGGCACCGATCCATTTTCGAATTTTAGAGAAACACCATTACTGTTCATCTATTTTGAAGGATGCCATTACAATTCTTCGATTTTCACAAGAATGGCACATAATACGTATAGAGACGACTTCAGTCCAGCTGCAGACGTATACGAATACGTATACTTCATTGCAGGCCCTCTTCCCTGTCACCGACGCGCAGGCCCCACATGTCACTTCTTCTTCCTCCTCTTCTCATCTCTCCTCGGTGAGCAACATCTGTCGTCGTCCATGGCGGCAAAGTGACTAGACTTTAGCACGCAAGCAAAGAAGAAGACAATGACAGCTGAAGTGATTGGGGGCGCGTGTGAAAGCTCTAGTTTGGTTTTGGTAAATTGATGAAACCCTAAGTGTTAACCTAGTTCATCAAGTGATCATGAGATATGTAGCACACTTCAAGTAGAGAAGCAAATGAAGATCATAACATGACAATGGTGATAGCATGGAGATGATCAAGGGCTTAAACTTGAAGAGAAGAAAGAGAAAAACAAAAAGCTCAAGGCAAAGGTATAACT